CCTCACTGCTCAAGTGAATCAAGCCCAGGGCTGCCATGAATAAGAGAGTTCAACTATCTGCTTCCCTGACACTGCTAGTGAATAAGCAAGGAGGAAGCAGAGGCCAGACAGGTCATGAATCCTGTTCCGTGGTAGCATGCCATTTACCTGTCTGTGTTTTAGCTGGATCTATTTACGTGGCTGTGATCCCACAAAGCCCCCGGTACAGATGCCCTGCATGTGGCTAAAGCTGCTCTGGGGCTGAAAGCAGAGCAAGTGATACTGCAGACTCTCAGGGTAGGTAACTGTCTGCATAATATCTTGCACAGTGGGCTCCCAAGGCACTAATGCAATATAATGAATAAGTTACCCTGGTGCAGCACATCCACAAGGGAGGGTTTGGATTGTTGCAGCAGCATTGGCAAGGCAACACCAATGCAACCTTCAACCTTTTTGTGAAAGGTTATTGGGATTTTGAAATTCTCTGAAAGAAAATTCCCCCTCTGTTCCTTTTGTGCACTCTGGATCCTGAGATGACAGAAGCACCTGACGTGGCTGACTGCAGGCGAAGCTGTGAGAAGGAGCAGGAGCTCAGCCACAGCCCTGAGTCTGGCCTTTTCTATTGGAATGGTAGCTGCTGGCACCTCCCTGCTCAGCACCTTAGCACTCTGGATTGCCTTTGGGAAACATCTAGAAATCCTATGCAATTGAATCAATCTAGGTTGCCTTCCTGTGCCAAGGTGCCTACATTGTGACACCTATGTGGAAGTGCTTACAAGGCCAATTGGGATCTGACCCCCTGGGACCTATTCACAGGAGCCTACAGTTCTGTTAGCCCCCTATATCCTGAATTAATGCCATAAGCACCAAATCACTCTTCCTCTCTAACAGCCCCTTTTCACCCCACTCACAGTACAGACGAGACTCTTGACCCTAAGCCCCTGGTCTTCAGAACTGCTAATTGAAGCCAGAGTGAGAATGCAAGAAATAAGCACCTCCCAAAGGCATACTGAGACTCAATAGGCCCCTTGGACAGAGATGAGGTCATTACTCCAGAGACCAGGGTGAGTATTTGGAAACTATTAGAAGATGGGAGAAGAAGTCTCAGCTAATCCTTGGGACCTAACCACTGTGGGTCTGGGTCCAATACCTGTAACTCAATATTGCTATTACTGTTTTGTCACACTGATGGCTCAGGAGAAAGAGGGCTTCCTTCTACACTGAAGAGCAAGACCTCAAAACCTACATCAGACCATAAAGTGCTGTTATCAAGGAGGCCTGGAACTAAAAAGCTGGAGAGAGTAGATTTATTGTGATATCATCTATGCTTTTGAAGAGTCCTTTATGCAGCTCTCATGCATATGTATGGCGAGACTCAGAGCTGCCAACTCTTCATGCCTGTTGGTAGTTTCTTAAAGCCCCAGCTGCTGGAATCCTGTGATAGAGCTGTGATTCTCATGGAATCACTTTAAAAGCAAAATGAAGCTGCTAGCACAGGTAGGAGAATAGCTTGAAACCACGAAGCCCAATGGCTCCAAAGCCAAAAAGGCAGATATGACACCTAATTTACTTTTTAAAATACTATGATTTGAAGCAGCCTTGTGATTCTTGCCTCAAAGGCTTTATAAGCCTGAGGTTAGCAACTCTGTTCCTACCTCTAGCTCTTACTTTCTTGTCTTAAATGACGAAATATGCTCCCCCAGTTCTCCCCTGTGTCCTACACTGGGGAGGTCCCCACCATACCTCCCACACTGGGAAGGGGGGTGAGGACCCCTTCTATGGCTCCTAGTCCTGGTGTTGTTCCCCTCTGCTCCACTCTGGGTGGCAAGGAGGAAAGCACTGCATTCAGCATAATACTAGTTTTTCCCATCGAGGCCCGCTGTAGATGTGGAAAAAATCAAGCTAGAAAAGGTGAATGGGGTATTCAGTACCACTTACTCACTTCACTGGGGAGTAAGAGTGTATTGCATGAATGTTGTTGGTATGCAGCCCAGAAACCTTTGATTTATTGCATGAAAAAAAGGAAATGCAATCTCGCTTAACTCTTCTAAAGACAGTTGGCAGGGCCCAAGGAACGGATTTAAGTCAATTTTAGTAGCCTCACTTAACTCCTCTCTTTATTTTTCCTCTCCTTCTCCTCTGCATTTGCTTTCAAAACCTGGAGTAAATCAGAAAAAGTTAACAGCAAGTTAAGCTGTTAAATCAGAAATTATGGTGATTGGAGTTTACTGGCATGTGATATTCCCACAACACACTAAACTTGCTCTATGTCTTGGCACAGCACAGTTAACCATTTCAGTCCCATTTCTGTGCACATTTCTTACCTCCTTTCCCTCCCCCACCTCCCTGAAAGAGTCTGCTGAAGCCAACATCCCCCTTCCCCCTTTAGACACAGAAGCCTTTAAAAGCAAAGATAAAGTAAAGTAGGATTTAAGAGGTTAGTCCCAAGATGCAAACAAGCAGAGGGCAGGAGGGGTTGGGCAGCTTACAGTGCTGGCTTGTGATCCTGGAAGAAATGGGCTTCTTGGACCCTCTAAAAATAAACTCTCACCTGTTGTGTTAGTTCCTTTTTTTTTTTTTTTTTTTTTT